AAAATAAATTTTGGTTACTGTTAAATGTACAGTAGTTTTAAATTTACTTAAATTAAGTTTTTTTTTACTATGTATTACATTTTCAACATTTAAAAACGTTATACATAGTATTAAAAGAAGGCTGAATTAATTTAAATTAATAGAAGTATCTTTATACATTTCAGTAACTAAAATCTTCTTTAAAATGTCACTTTTTTATGTTTTATTTCAAGTTTGTTTTTATGTTTCATTTTATTTCTTAAATGTCAGTTATAACTTATTTAAAAATATTTCTTAAATTTAAAGCATAATATAATTATATTAGCAAATAATACATATTTTAATATCTTAATAATAAAGATTTACTACATAAAAATATTATTATATTAAGTCTATAACATATTATAACTGTGAATAAGATATTAAGTCATAAACATAATATAACTGACATTTGAGAAACTTTTGCATGTTTTACTGTAAATAAAACTTGAAAATGTTAGCACATCTTAAAAATTCTTTAAATTAGTTATTTATCTTAGAAAACTTTGAAAGTATATTTTTCATAACATAAACAATACAATAAATTATGTTGTTTTCAATTTGTTACAAATAAAAAGACATTGCACTTAATTTAAAAGACATTGTCTCTTTATTTAATATTGCCAATGCACTATAATTTCTACGCTGCTGATCAAGTAAACAAAGTTTCTTCAATTACAGGAACACTTTCTTCCACATTTTTATCCTCGAAAATTGTTTAAAGTTTTTGCAATATTGTGCAGTATAAAATTCGCAGTGATACATGTAGCAATCATTTTCGGCTTAATTTTTACCTATAAAATTATCACACCGCAGATACTGTTGAATCAACAGTAACTGTATAACAACAGGGATGCGGAATCCAAAAAAGGACTACGGATATGAAAGGCACAAAAAGATTATTTCTTCCTTGTTTTTGGTTTCCAGGAGCTCTAAAAATATTAATAAGTTTATGGACTACTAATAGGAATAAAATTAAGACTTTTAGGTAAGAGGAAAAATAATTTTTTGAATCTGGAGTCTTTGCGTATAATGGCGGCAAGGACTCCGAGCTTAAAAACAATAAGTTTCAAGTCATTCAATCTCGCGAATGTTTTACTTATAGCAAATCGTAAGCCAACAAACATGTTTTGAGCTTCTGGACACTACAGACTTGGAAAAAGTAGAGATATAAAGCTGGAGTCCTTTTGGGACTTCGCATCCCTGCTGTTGATTGAATCAAACACTTTTCTATTATTAAGCTCTTCAGCAAACTCTCCAAGGGTTTATCAATTCTTGCATGGGTGCAATCAATAGCTCCTATTGTACAGGAATAGCCTTTTTCGTTTGCCCATTCCAGTTTTGCTCTAAAATTTGTTCTTACGTATGTGGGAAAACTATATACTGAAAAGTCTTAATCAAAATTTTTTGAAGCGTCAAAGAGATAGTTTTTGAAACAGTATTGCTAAAATTATATTCCAAAAAAATAAATGTATCAAAAACGTGCTAGTATAATTATAAATAAATGCATAACGTAAAAATATATAGATATATACATCAATAGTCAAAAAATAGTAAAATGTATAGGTAATATAACAAAATCAATGCCCGATTATCAAAAAAAAAAAAAAAAAAAAAAAAAAAAGCAACTATTTTAGGTGCTCGTAAATTTAGAAGCAATTGCTCGCCGTTTTTTGAGTTAAAGCTTTTTTATTCACGCGCTTTTCTCATATGTGAGCAATCGCTAAACATTTGAGTAAAAGCTCATGAGTAAAAGCTTTCGCGATAAAAAGAGCAATTGCTCAAAATTTTTATTCACGTAAAGTTGAGCAATTACTCCAAAAACGCTGAGTAAAAGCAATTGCTCTTTTTTATTCACCCGGCTTAATAACTAATATTAACTATATAATCTTTTTAAAGCTAAAAAAAAATCAATTGAATATAGTTCCAATATTTGTTATACGGTTAAATATATGCTAACAATCCAGGTCTATTTCTTATTTAAGTATTTATTGAAGTAGCTGAGAATAATCTACTGAAGTAGCTGAGAATATTCTCTACAACGCATTATCAGCATTAGTTAAAAATTATGCTGTCGAGACAGTGCTTCTAGTTCATTAACAATATGCTGTCGAGACAGTGCTTCTAGTTCATTATCGTTTTGAACTTTCATGAAAATCTCATGGTCTTTGAACATATTTAGTCTTATATCTTTCAAGGAAATTTTTCTGCCTTCAATAAGAACCTCTTTTTTTTGTAATTGTTTGATTTTTAGATGATATAAATACTTTTTCATATTTTTGGGGTACAATCTTTTACCCTAAATTATATGTTCGATCATCTATTTTTTTTTCGAGTTGCTGCTTTATTTCTTTATTAGTTGGCTCGCATGGCAAAGATATATTTCTGATGTATGGCAGGTTTAACCTATAAATGAGTTAAACCATGAATGATTAATAAAATATGAAGAGTTTAACCTTTTAATGATAAGTGAAAGAAAGGT